TTATAAACATAATAATTAAGTATTTTATTAGAACTCAATGATTATCCTAATTATATTTTAGATTTTTTATATTTAAAATGAGATGTTTATCCTGTATTGGATTGTGTTTATCTGTAGTTAGTTACACGAATTCAGTTATGGAATGAAATCGGATAGGGATGAAATCGTTTAGGGATGAACGGTTTTAAGAGTTTTAAGAGTTTAAGAGTTTTTAAGAGTTTTAGCCAAATACTTTATAATATAGTATAGATATATTTCAAATTTACGTATCTATATCATCATATTCAACATATGATATGGATTTGAATGACACAACAAATATGAACAAAACAACAAAATCTCATTCTTGAACAAAAATCTATGTTTTTTGAGTTATTTCGTTTATTCAACAACCATAACAGGAAAGATACACGTTATACCACAGTTTTTTGTGAAGTATGAGGGGGAGTTCATGATGGGGATGTTGTAGATAATTTTCCATACTTTGTATTCGGAGTACTTCATTTAATTTCTTCTACAGTATTGGGTCTTGACGGTATTTATCATGCACTTTTAGGAACTGAGACGTTTGAAGAATCTTTTTCCGTTCTTCAGGAATGTATGAAAAAATACAAATAAAATGATCATGATTTTAGATATTCACTTAATCTTGTCAACTATAGGTCTTTTTTAAGCATAGACAGGTCTAGTAGTACTCAATCATATAGTCGGTAAAGTGTTATTTGAAAACAGCTCAGTGTTGGATTTGACGTATCATAAGAGATTTGTTTTTCCCTTGGCATGTCATAAGCCATTTACTTTTTGATTACTTTGCATTTTGGAATAATAATAACAAATTGATTTAACCACGGACTTCGTGAAAGCAATCAACATACACTTACCTTATCTCCGAGAATAAGTTAGGTTTACAATCCATATTCTCATGCACAAAATCGTTAACACGTTTTCTTGGAGATTTTTATTCCGTAGATAACTATTATTTTTCATAATCTACCAAATATTCTAAAAAATGAGTTACGCTAGCGACGTTGCTTCTACCCGTTCACTTGTCCCAAATATCAAAGCTATTACGACTATGGCCCTAATGTGGCAAAAAAAATGAGGATATCTACCCTTGGTGCAAAGAAATTCAACGTTATTCAAAAAATCATGCATCAACACAAGGCTCAATTCAAAAGGAGAGCAAATAAAAATTGGGCTGATGAGCGAAATCAACGCATTGCACCGTGGATTCAAAATACATTTTCACTGAAGCGTAAACCGGAAAGTCATACTACCTAGAAATCCGATTCAATGCAAATGTCAGGCATCGCAAAACAAGAAATACAAAAGATGAAGGGAACTTTTTTATAAAGTTCCAAAAACCCTTCAGAAATTGAAAGATGTTTTTTCTAAGGGTCTGTTTGTTAACAGCTTCATAAGCTTAATAGGACTCACAACTTATTCAGTCAACTGTACATGAGCATTTGATAGTGGCTTAATGATATGAAATATGACTTGTTCGGTTTGCTTTTAGGGGGTAGCTTTATGCATAAAGCCAAAAAAAATTTCCACACTTACCCCTCCCAATAAAAAACACACTCCTTTCATCTATGAAAAAAACCCTCCCAAACAAAAATCATCTCAATCCATTCAGACAGATTAATCCACATAGTCAGTTTATCCATACATGACTTGATGGAAAACCAACCAAACAGCACCTAAAAATCACTTGCAGTCCAAAGAGAGAATCAACAAGTTTACAACACCATAATTCATTCAAGTGCATGCATATTTTATATAACCATGAAAACAAAAGAGGATGAGATCAACAAGTTTCAGTCTCACTGATAACAAAGGCTTGAATAAGAGACTGTGCAGCATGAGTCTGCTCTGGTGTGCCTGATATTATGATCAATGTCTCTTTTCCTCCACCTTTCGTCTCCGTTATCGTAATTTTTGCATCAGAAATCTGGAGATATAACAATTTCAAAATGCAATCCAATTTCAATCATGAAAAACTACTGATAATGTTCCAAGAGATCAAGATTTTCAAAACCGAGAAAAATTGTAAACATGCCAAGACAATGTCAAGATACGTACCTCACGGATTTGTTTCAAACATCCGCCATCCTCTCCATATATTGCAGAAACCACAGAGCGAGGAACAACTACTTCCACGGTGGTGCTTGTGATTATAGCTTGGTGATTTCCACTATCATGATACAAAGATAAACGCTTTAGCAAAGATATCATCTACTTGAAACGACTGTAATTACTCAAAACTATGCGTAAAATGTACCTACCCTCCAAATCCACCCAATCTTCTTTGGGGAACTCCTGAAAATTCAGGGAATCCTAGAGGCCCACCACCTTCAACACACTGCAAGTAAGAAAACAAGGCTGTAAATGAGCATATCTATTTCAGTTTCCTCATAAAGACAGTATAAGAATGTAGAGAAGTAATACCGGAGGACCCCATGGTGCTGAAGCTGGTAATCTTTCAGGCATATGGTGGGAAAAGCCTGGTCTATGGAGATCATGCATAAATGGAGGGTGATCATCATGTGGATGAAACCCACCATGTGGAGGCATTCCAGCATCAAACTGGGTAAATGAGGAATACCTTCCTGGTGGAGAAACTTCCCTCCTCATATATGGTGGAAATGGCGGTCCATGATCAGGAAACGAAGAATTTGGAGGATGATTAATGGAAGGAAATGCGTCCCGGAAAAAATGACTTCGCAACCTCATGGTTATTTGCAAAAGAGCCTCATGAACTGCATCAAAATCACCATTTATCTGCATTTGGACCAATTGCATGTATTTACATATCAATCCAGTGACTTTATGGCAAATGAAAATATTCCATTAACAAAATCATGAACATTAATAACTTAACAGTGCATGCTTTACCTGAACTACTTCTTCATTTCGAGCAGCATATTGTGGGGTTTGATCTTTTCCCAATATACGAATATATGCCCCAGTTGACTTTCTCATCTCTGAAATAACCGCACCGCCCTTGCCAAGCAGACATCCAATTTGATGCGAGGATACTATAATTTTTCCTGTAGGACCCTGTTCCTTGTTCTCAGGTGCAGCCCTAATTATCCTTGTTTGTACACGAAGAACTGCATCTTGAGGAGCAGATATGCGCTCATCTGGATGCTGCAATAATTAATTGGTTTTAAGCATTTTGCCCTCTTTGTTAAATCGTAAGCCAAAAGTGTGAAACAAAAACAGATGGTAAAGAAGATAACAGATTGAGAAGTATGAGTTCGTACCGATGGTCCAGATATGACAATAACACGGTCATCTGAATCAGCAGTAAGTTCTAGGACTTTAATGTCACATCCAGTCTCTTGCTGAAGTGCCTTCACAACAGATCCTCCTTTTCCAATCACACCTCCCACTTTCTCATCAGGGCATATCAAGCGGTAAGTTAGCATCTCTTGAGAAAGACCCATACGCCCAAAAGCACCACCTACACCATCAGCAGGTGGTGCAGCCAATGGTCGTCCATGAGGGAAAGCAGGATATGCATCTGGACGAGAAAGAGAATTACCAAAGGAATGAGATAAGCCGCTAGGGTTCGCAGAGAAAGAATCATCGTCACGAGGTGGATGGTCCAAGAGCTGTTGTGAAACAGATTGAAGAGCTTTCTTAACCGCATCCATGTCTCCAGATAGCTATGGAAAAATACATCATAAATTTAGAATTTTATGAACCAGAAAGCATTTGTGTATCCCATATAAACATATACAGATTTTTAAAGAAGGTGAAGGAAGGAGAAGAGTAGAGAGGGAAAGATGTAACATGTAAGTAACCATATTGCAATTAAGCCTACAACATGGAACACTCTTCCACTAAATAAATGCCTTAACTTGTTATCATTTCATTAAGCTACATGTTAAGAACCTCAATGGCTTCGATTTTATCAGACCATGAAATTGTGTTTGAAAACTTGGTTTCATGAAGAGGCTTACAATATCATATAAAAAATGAAATTTGATCCTATTTTATATGGGTTACACTTTACATTCAAATGGGTAGCAAATGCATCAAGATTCATGGTAGTTGTTCTATTTAAGCATTTAAGTAAATAGTATGAGTATTTTAGTCTTCTAGTGGTTAGGTTTCCTAAAGTTTAGAATAGGATCCCTTTACCTATGTAGAGAGTTATAATCACCAAGGGTTAATTATTGAATTATCAAATAGAATACGCTTCTGCATAACCTAGTTATTTATCATATTCACCAAAACTTTATCTTTCGACTTCTACTCCTTCATAGCTTGTGAAAAAATATGATACTGGGAATGAAAACTATTTGGAATGCTTCTAATTACTATTACTTCCCCCATCTAAGCATTCTTGTCCATAAATATGTTTCACATCCATGGCATCATGTGATGGTCATTTTAGGTTTTATGAAGCCAAGATGGACATCAAGTCACAGTGACTACCTATTACGATGTTTCAAAGAACATTTGATGCTAAGATTAGAGCACGGTTGCTGAATTTAAATAAAATCTTGTCACTCAGAAGATTGCAAGCTTTGAACACTTTGACTGACAAATAGACAACGAAATAGAAGTACCTGAATCAGTTCATCCGAAGGGGATGCACATGCAGGAAGTTTGTCCCTAGGAAGAATCCGAATTTGTGACCCGCTTTCAGAAGCCATTTGTTTGATTACGCTACCAGCTTTTCCTAAAAGACATCCCACTTGAGAAGAAAGTACTAACAGCCTCACAACACATGTAGTAGCCTCCTTATTACCATCTTCATTCCCTCCATCCATGCCCGGTTCTCCTCCAAACATTCTTTCAAACACAAGAAACAGGGCTTTCTGGACAGAGGAAGCAACTTTCTCAGATGGCAAATCTTCCCCTGCAACAGATTGCTTATGTTCACTCCCCTCATCATGTTCTTTTGTTTTGTCAGTGTCTTCGGTTTCTAGAACTGCTTTAGTTCCTTCATCAGCATTTTTTCTCTGATTATCTTCATCAGAACCAGCGATTACAACTACTCTCTCATTACATCCAGGGACGATTTCCTCAACCCTGACCTTTGCACCAGTCTCCTGGCGTATCTGGGATATCTTGTCTCCCCCTTTCCCAATAACACTTCCAGCTTTAGAAGCAGGGCAAAGCACTCGAAAAACAGTGCTACCAGGAGCAATCTTGAACGATGTATCTTGTGAAGTAAAATAAGCAGACTTTTGCCACTTCCCTTTTCCATTGCCCTCTGATGCTCCACGGTCTTGAGGCCTCTTGGAAGGTGTTAACTTGGAAGACATGTCCACAAAATATCAAATCCTGCAAAAGAAACTACGCATGATGATAATAGAAATTCATAACCCCTGAATAGAGAACCAAAAATGCAAAGGGGACACAGATTGACTGATATTTGACCAAGAAGTTTTACTTACGGTCTTTAACTTTTTTTATATCACATAAAGTAATGTGAAATGCAGATTTGTCTGTGTCGTAGAACTTAGATGGTTAAAAGAATACTTCAATAGAGAAATTGTATTTATAAAGAAACTCCCATGTCTTATATAGCAATGGTGGACACAGACCCTACTTAGATAACATTAACAGCCATATTAAACCGACAATAAGATCCGACTCAACTTGTAACAGAATAGAGCCGATGAAGTTCAAATTAAGACATTAATCCACAAAAATTAAGACTTTAGCATCTTACTTTAAAAGAATTCTCGTAATCCAATAGTTCAAATTAAGACGTTAATCCAAGTATACGTTTATCACATACAAGATACATGATATAATAGGTCACAGTTATATAAACAAAGTAACTTCATATTCACTAGACCTTTGTCTGTTAAAAAAAAATCTTGATCATGATTTATGAAATCTCAGTTCATGGGAAATTTGTATCTTTCCTTCTCGTCACAATGTGGAGGCTTATCAACACACTACTAAATACTAATACCTAAAATCTTCAAAATTGTTTTAACAAGTAATCGGTTCTTCTGCGTTCTCATTGGTATCCAACCAGTACAAAAAAACATTCAGTCGACGGAACAAAATTTCAACTCGACATCGATACATGTAACCCTAGAGGAGAGTTAATCCAAAACCCCGAATAAGCACTGTGATTTTCAAATTTACGTAATATCAAAATGCCAATCACAATAACGTTTCTAATGGGAAATAAAATCGAAGAAGACACAAGCAAAAACTACGCACACGCTTATACACAGAAACAAAAATGGTGACCTAGGGTTTATAATATACCTTCTTTAAGGAAGAATGATGAAAGAAAGAGTCTTTGAAGCCGGGAAACTTGCTCAGAGATGAATCGGCGCAGCCCCTTTGGACGGTGGACTTGAAATTGCCAGCGACAAGTCTGTGATTGGTGGTGGGTGTCGCAATCGCTGGGATTCTGGTCCAGTTATTGTCTTCTATACATATGTTCAATCCGTTTCATTGATGTTTGGGTTGAAAAAAGCCCTAACTTTAGACTTGGTTTTGAAATCATGCAAAGATTCTGCTTCAAAGGATTCCAATGAACATACTCCCTCGATACAAATGTAAAATGCCATCACCAACAATTGTGATTTAACCCCCTTTGGCTTTGATTTTATGTAAATAATTACGTATATATGTCCAGTCAATATAAAATGATGTCATGGCCTCAACATGACACCGAGGCAATACGTCTATAATAACATACCTTTTTTTTATCCTTCTTTTTGCGGTTGTTCATTTATATCATCAATAAAGTTTTAATTATAATAATTTATTGTTAATTTTTTACTGATGACTCAACTACAGATAAAATATATGATATCTGTTTTACTCGATTATCTATACTTAGAGATGGATTAAACAAAGGATATGAATATATATTAAATAAGCTTAAAAGGTAATTAGTAATCAAATTATCATAAACATATAGTCTCCATTAGTATTTCGATGCACATTATCAAACCTAAATAATTGCAAAAATGAAAGCGCCTATAATCCAAATACTAAGCATATTCCCTTGATTCCTGGAGTTTCAACAAGGCCCTCCCCTCATACTTTATGGTTGCTTCTTGTACCATGTTGATTAGAGATGCGTAGAAGACGAATTGAAAAAGACTAAGATCAGTACTAGTTTTTAGATGATGGTCAATAAAGAATCAATCTGAAAAATATATGTATTTAGATTGGAGTCGTCAAAAACCGATTAAATAACGATTTGTGAAGGTCAAACCATAGGAAAAATAAGTATGTTGACACTCTAATTCTTTACAAAGACCTCTTCATTTGTAAGATTGGGACCATCCTGATCAAACGAAGAGTTGCGTTAAATGCCTCGTAAGCAACTTACATGCCAAATCTTTAAGATATATATTTATATGTATGTATGTATGTATGTATGTATGTATGTATGTATGTATGTATGTATGTTTTTAAGAGGATTTACAATAAGTATTTGACACATTTATTCAATAGGTTCTTTATAATACCCGTCAGATATGTGTGTATGTGTGTGTATATATATATGTATATATCCGTGCATGTTTAAAATATATATATATATATATATATATATTTATATTGAAGTATGGGTTAGTTTAGGAAGTTGACCAATCTTGAGGGGTTAGTTTTGCATAAACCACTTTAACTTTGCAATTTGGATGATGGGCTTGGGCTTTTGTTTGTAGATTAGGGTTTAACCTAACCCTAATTCCTCTTATTTAACCTAACCCTAATTCCTCTTATTATGATAATCGTTAGAGAGAAACCCTAAGAGCTTGGAAGAGTCTATTGATAACCTAGGAGGGAACCCGACGGCCAAAAACAAGCAAGGTTCCATCGATTTCTTGTCGGTTCGAGGTAAGTTTTTGTCCCAGTCTCAAATCTATACATTTAGTAGTTGGATTATAAATTTTGGGATTGTTTAAGGAAGATTTGAGTTGTTCTGGTGACTCGAAGATCACCGATTCGGTCAATAATAATGGCAGCAACTAGGGGTTTGTCAAAATCGTCTTTAGAACCCAAAAATTCTTCTCGTTTTCCTTTCGAATTTGATCTTGTATGTGCTTAATGTTGGTGCATATAATGGTCATTATTTTATCGCCAAAAAAATTGAATCGCCTAAAAAAAACACGGGTCAAAACACTCGATTTTTAGTCGAGTTTGCTGTTTTTTTAGTCGTTCAAAAGACGTGACCTTTTCGTTTAGACTGCTTATTTTCTTGGGTAACTCGAGCTACTAACCACCTATGGGGGTACCATAAGCACGTCATTGTGGCACCAATGACGTGACACTAACCGTGGCAGTGTGATCAGTCCACAACGTCTCCTCTTTTATGCTCTTTTGAGAGCTATTTTGGTGTGATGGGTATTAGATTTAGGAGGCGTATGGGTCGGGCCTAGCACATGTGATTCGTTTGTAGGGTGGATRTCGGTGTAGTGTCCAACGCCACATCTCACATTTGGTACGTGTGGATCTGCAGTCCAACGTACAGGCCTGTGTGGCCATATGTCTGACACTTGTCATGTTAATTAATATGGAAGTGTATGCGTTTTCGAGCTCGATTTGTCCTTTCATATGATTTAGTATGATTATGGTATTTGTTGATTTTTCTAAGATTTTGGTACTCATTTGGTTCGATGTCTTGAGATTAATTTTGGCATGTTTGTATTACCATTTTACTGTAATTGTTTATCCGTTCACTGGGCATTTGGCTCAGCCGTGTTTTCTTCTATTATTCACGACAGGTGATCAAGGGGCGGGTAGGTTTTGTGACAGAGAGTAGACCAGGATCTTGGTTCCAAGGATTTCAAGAGGTTTAGTGCTATTAATTCATTTAATGGATTTTTTTTCCTTTTTTGCTATTAGATTAGATTTCCTTTAAAGATTGCTTTTGGATTTTCCTCGGTAGTTGGAGGATTTTGGAAGTAGTTTGTTTGGAGACCTTTATATCTTGTTTGTAGTTATATTCAATTTCGTTATTAGAATATTTTATTTCTTTGTATTGGAGACTATATTTGGAAGTTTTATATAGCGGCTCCGTTATGTTTTAAAGCAACCTCCCTTTTTTCGGAATGGGGATGTTACATTCTTATAAAACATCTACTCTGATATCATGATCTTATTTGGTCATAACTTTTTAATAAGAACTCAACTTCTTCTACAAAAACTTAAAGTTTCTTCTATATTATTGTTTTTTAATTACTAGAAAAGTACTCGTGCAATGCAGCGAGATGCATCTCAATTTTATTGTTCTATTTTATTATTTGTTTCTGTCGATGTTATAATACAATTTTATGTGTTTTTAAAAATGATTTTATTTTTGAATAAAATATAAATTTAAAGATATTATAAAAATTTGAAAAAAAATATATCAATGTTAATATCAAATCAACTATTTAAAAGTTTACATTTTTTATGTAATTTCTTTATTTTTTTATTATAATTTAATAACGAAATAATTTATTTTTAGTTTGATAATATAACATTTTATAAAGATAATAATTAAGTATTTTGTTAGAACTCAATGATTATCTTAATTATATTTTAGATTTTTTATATTTAAAATGAGATGTTTATCTTGTATTTGATTAAATTTATCTGCAGTTAGTTACACGAATTCAGATATAGAGCTTTAATAAGTTGTATTTATGCACAATCTATTTGTAATCTTGAGTTTTAAGTGACATGCATTAATAAACAGTATTTTATGCATAAAAAATAGTTTTTAAGAGTTTTTGTCAAATATTTTATAATATAGTATAGATATTGTTATATAAACATTTATTATTTATATCAAAAATAAAAATTGAAGTAGTTCGAAAATGAATCCACTAAGTTAAGTTGTAACAAAGGGTGGGCTGGGCTGGGCTGGGCTGGGCTGGCTCTCCTTTTTCTAGTAAGGTAAGGCCCCATTACAGAAAAGCCTCAATCCCTCATCCATTGGCCTCCTGTTCTCTCCGCTTCCCCATGGTATTTGTGAATTCGTCTGACGCCCCTGTTCGCCGTTGAATTGAATGCCTCTGGTAATTGTTTCTTCCATTCTTGCTACTCACTTGGTATTATGGTTTTGCTAAATTGCTATCTGTTAAACCTTGAAAGTTCGAACCTTTTTCTACAAACCATAGCTGATTTCTTTACTGGGGTTTAATTTTTTCTGGCGTTTCGTTTAGCGCCAGCTTCATGATTATCGGCAATGGTCGTAGAAATCTCAAACAACGAATAACTTCTTCTTCTAAGGCTCCCCTTTTTGCATTCTTAAATCAATCCACACTCACTTGTCTACACTCCCAGAAGCACAGCTACACCAATGTGTACATGAAATGGAAAAAAGATTCATACTTTGACTCAATTGAATCAATTCACAAATCCATCGAACTCAAACCCATAATTGCTCTTAAGAACTGTATTACTGCCTCTCCAGAGGGCCGCATCCCCATCTCTGATGTTTCAAAGAAAGGCTTACAATTAGATATACCAATTAAGGTGGCTAGGTTTCTTAGACTGTACCCATCGGTCTTTGAAGAGTTCACCGGACCCAAATACAATATGCCATGGTTTAGGTTAACCCCAGAGGCTGTTATGCTTAATGATGAAGAACAAGCTGTTTATAGGGATTATAAGGCTGATCTACAAGAAAGGTTGAAGAAACTAATACTTATGAGTGTTGAGAATAGGTTGCCATTGAAGGTAATCCAAGGTATGCTGTGGTACTTGGGGTTTCCGGATGATTATGTGCGGAACCCTGAAGGAAATCTTGATGGGTGTTTTAAGGTAGTGGAAATGGAAGATGGGTTAAAGGGGTTAGCAGTTGTGAAAAGTGAAAAGGTTTTGTCTGTACTTGAGAGGAATGCATTGAGGAGTGGAGTTGATAATGGTGGACAAATGGACGCTATTTCAATTCCATTGTTTCCATCTAAAGGTTTGAGGTTGAGGACAAAGATTTTGGATTGGTTGGACGGTTTTCAGAGACTTCCCTATGTTTCACCGTATGAGGAATGCCCGGATTTGTACCCAGATAGTGACGTGGCTGAGAAACGTGTTGTGGGTTTGCTTCATGAGTTGCTTAGTCTATTTGTTGAACATTCTGCTCAAAGGAAGAAGCTTTTGTGCTTGAGAAAGTATTTGGGCTTGCCACAGAAGGTTCATAAGGCGTTTGAGCGACATCCCCATGTGTTTTATCTATCTTTGAGGAATAAAACGTGCACTGTAATATTAAAAGAAGCGTATTGTGATAAAACAGCTATAGAGACACACCCTCTGGCCAGGGTAAGGAAAAGGTATATTGATTTGGTGAAGGAATCAAAAGTGATATTGAAAAACAGAAGGCTTCAGAACCGATCTTTTTGCTCTGGTGATGAGAATTTGAGGTTGAATTCAGGTGAGGATGATACTCATAATGCAATTGCAAGGTCAGAGATTTCTTAATGATGTTCTTTAAAGAACATAAATTTCTTTATCTTGCTAAATTTTCCCTACAAGCTTTTAACACGATATGAAGCCTGTTCAGTTGTTGGTTTTCTTGGTAGATAGAAGTTTGATTGTTCTTCCTTTTGTTTATTTTCTCATCTCAATGCCTTTGGTTCTTATAGGATGCAAATAACAGGGAATTCTTAGCTGAAGAAAATGAAAAGAAGCAGAATGCAATTAAGGGTTTGTTTGCCTTGATCTAATTCTCTTCTCAAGTTTGATATGAGTTTATTTGTGTTAACTACTAAGGGGTTGTTTGGTTGGTTTTCCATGTCCTTTATGGATAAAGTTGTCTGTGTGGGTTCATTTGTTTGTATAGACTGAGAAAGTTTTTGTTTGAAAGGGTTTTTTCATAGAGAGAATGAACGTGTTTTTTAATTGGGAGAACAAGTTCGGAAAAAACTTGGTTTTCTGCATAAAGTTCCCTTCTAAAAGTTTACCGAATAAGCCACTTTCGATATCATCAAGCCACTACTAAACAATCATGTATAACTGATCAAATAAAATGCCAGGTACATTAAGAAATGCGCCCTTAGTTGTATGTTTAAGGTGTGTTTGGTGTCCAGACAAGATAGAATAGGATAGGATGGGATATAACAACTGTTCAACATTTGGTAGGATAAAACTGGATAGAGCATAACAAGTAAAATGATTAATTTTACCCCTAATGAGTTGTTTATTTTAATTAATTTATGTAATTTATTAAATTATAATAGAACAGTTATTTTTCATAACAAGATATATCATCAGAAAGTTTTCATCAAAACAATTAAAATGATACCAAATAAAAAGTTTATGTAGTTTCCAATTTTTTTTTAATCTCTTTTCTACATTATTTTTTATTACTAATATATAATGAATTACATAAATTAATAAAAATATAGAAACCGTATAAAAATAATATTTTGAGGAGAGTAAAATGAAGTTTAAAAACATAAAATACAATAAATAAAATTTAAAGAATGAATAAAATGTAAAAAAGAGACCTATTTGATGTTTTAGAAGAGAATTAAGTTTTATTTTGAGGTTATATTAGTGAAATATAAGTCTGTTCTACCTTGTTTCATCATGTTCCATGGGGTAGGGGTGGAACATGCCTGTTTCACTCTGTTCCACATGAAAATCATGTCAAACATAGGATAAGGATCCTTGTTCTGTTTTGTTCTGACATGTTTTGTCCAGTATACCATTTGTACCCTTAAAGTATTCAACATATATAGTCCCGGTTGCCTATTATGGAAATTGATACGAAGAATTCAAAGATCATCCACTAGACTTTATGGACCAAGATATTAAATAATAATGAAAATGATATAGAGATATATTATAGCAATAGAAATCTTGCCACCCACTTGCTTTTATAGTTGATAGCTTTCTATCTCAATTATATATAGACACTTGAGATCATGTGAGATAAAACTGTTTTTATGAGATACACGAGACACGATTTTTTTACACTTGAAATTTCACAGCAAAACACTATGAATGTAACCTTCACAATGTTTTTGTTGTGAAGATTCACCTTCTTTTTATCTTCACAACATTTTGTTGTGAAGTTTCAAGTGTAAAAATCTTGTCTTACGAAAACAATCTTGTCTCGTGTGAACCCAACCCTATACACACACACACACACACATATATATATATATATATATATTTATAATAAGGTCGAGCCTATAGAAAAGTAAATATGGTCTAGCTAGTTATCACTTCTCCCCCTGTAGCTATAGCAGTATGGGGAATTCCTCTATCTTCTTTGAATGAGGACGAAAGGTTATCAAAAGGTACTTTCGGAGGATATCGGGACTCTATTCAATTTAGTACAACCCTTCCCGCCAGTCTGCCCTTCCATATCGGGGTGGTTTCAATAGCAAACCCTACATTTCCAACAAACTTTGTAAACCAATCTATACCATTAATTTTTTTTTATAAATGGACGATAGTGATGCGGTGGCATTCCAGTAAATATATATTCAATTTAATTTAATATAAAGAAGCGTGCAGGGGCAAATAGGGAGCCTCCACCTCCAGTGTAGAATTGTATGTTGGAATTAAACTCTGAAGAACAATCAAGCAGTTTCCATTGAAGGAAAACATTCTGAATCTTTTGTAAACATAAAGGACCAAGATGAAGACCCGGAATCATGAATCAAAACATTAAAGATAAACATATTATTAGTTTTTATATTTTGTATATATTTATACTTCCTATAGTTTGTTGTATTTCTCCATTCTTATTCTTATGGGGTTGTATTTGTAAATTGGTTCTTTATCTCTCCTCCTGTATTGGCATGGAGATTTACATTCTCACATATCTTAATAACATTATATCAGTAGATGCATTAGTTCGAATATTCATTAGGGTTTATCAACACTTGCAGTTCAAAGACGAAGTGCATGAATCATGGAGAAAACCTCGTTCTCCAATTTCACCAACATATGAATCATTTATTCTTTAACATATGAATCTTTGGTTATTTGCTAAATTTGTAATCATTCGTTAAAAATCTTTGTTCTTTTTGGCACAATATTCATCAGGGTACTTCATGTCATTAAGCAATGAACCTGAGTAATATTGGTTCGTGAATACGTTTGTTGAATAATGTAGGAAAGGAACATGTTTACGTGGTTCAAGTTCATGAAGCTTGACCACAAATTGAAAATGTTCGCATGTAATTCATGAAGACACTGTTAATGCATATCGAACCCAGTTACTTGGTTCTTTTTTTTTTTTGTACATAATGCATCAGTTACATTAGTTTCATGAATCAAAGAACCTGAGTTTCATTGGTAGATGTATTAGTGTCATGTCATGAATGTTTAAGCCTGAGGTTCATTTGTTACTAACCTGCTTCATGAATATGTGTCTGAAACTAGTTCGAATCATTCAACTGTTTGAGTTATTGAACTTCTTAATTGGTCGATCACAATCATACAATATGTTGATTATTAACATCTCATTAACCATTTAATAGAGAACCAAACAGCGGCCAAGCCTGATGTTGATGACGTAAAGGAACAAATCATACCCATTACATCAAGCTTCAGGGTATCCAAGGAAGCTAAAAGGAGGAGAGGTAACAACTGTGTTTACTGAAATGTTAATTATGAACACCTATTTAACTGTGTTTATTATGAACACCTAATTCGTAAGTTCAATTGGTCGAATTCATGAATATGTGACGATGGATTCTGAAATTCATTAAAACCAATATCAAGGGCACGGGCAAGGTTCTAAATGATGTGAGGCGTGGCGTGGCATGACGTCGAGATCAAGCCTCAAGCCTTATGAGTTACGGCGAGACCATGACATTTTTAAATGCATGCTATGTAGAAGTGTATTGTAGAACGAATTAAATTCATATAAAGTAATAAATTTAAAAAAGAAATAAGAACTGTTGATACCAAATATATAGAGCTTATAAAAAATGATATCAACTATCAAGAATGCAAAATCGGTATTAAATCTCTTGAATTTATACTCACTGCTTTTTCCAATTTTCAAAGAATTTGTGCTCGACTTTTCATGTGCGGGAATGTGAGTAACTGTTTTCCTATTTGAGGTTTTAGTTTTAAGTTTCCTTCTTATTTTTATTTAAGTCCTAAGACTCATACATAATTATCATTTATCCTCGAGATATATATTAATGTAATCTTACACCTTACAAAATAATGCAACCTAACGTGCCATAACGCATTACAGTGCAAGCCAAACCTTAGAGTTGAGTCCTACGTGGACGAACCGGTAATATCATTTATGTATATCTCATTCATTGGTAGAGAATCTTCCATATTCGATGATCATTTTCACAGAAAAATAACCTGAGAAGAAGACCGTGATATTGTGGAAACAAAAGGATAAAAAAAAACCTTATGATCATGCAATCCCATGAATATGGGAAATACCATAATTAATTAGTTATTTTAAATTAAAAAATAAATTTCCAATTGTCGGATTTACCCTTATCAGTTTTAATTTAATAACTAGTTGTGTATCCGCGCAATGCGGCGGGAGTCGTAAATGTAAACGATTTTGAGGCTTTTTGTGTTTTCACGAGAGAAGACTTTTTGAATGATATGATTTGCTCTTAGTTTTTTACATATTAATACATATAACATGAACTTAGAAATAGGCATCATGGTTAGTGTTTTACATATCGCATGAACTTTATTTTCGAGGAGAACATGAATCATGAAGCGATCCAAAACAATTACACAACATAAACATGAAAAGCAACATACAACAGTTCCTTTTAGCTTCAGATTTAAAAAACACTTCACCTCGCTTGATACAAGCAAATGGTATGCCTTTGGAGAGCCCGTACACCCAAAAAGTAAAACATAATCCGTTTGCTCGTCAGCTTAAAAAGTATGTACAAGAAAGAACGTAAATGAATAAGGGTTGTTGAAGCTACAAAGTCACATCTCTATAGTTTGCAATAAAAATATAAAGAATCAAATTAAGTGATCAAGGAACATATATACGTGAAGCATTGGAACAAAGTAATTAAACCCATCTTTGTAAAAACACTTCAAATAACATTCATAACAATTAACATTTACAAAGTTTAATAAAACTTTGAAAATCAAATTTCAATGACAAAAACTGAACTCTAATATAGTTAATAAATTGAACTCTAAAATAATTAACCTAATTCTATCTCCTAACAATATAGATGAATCTTCACAAAACTCATCCAACATCAATGATAGGTATTGGACGTTTGTCCTTCACCATATGGCCAGCTGTGGGTAGAGAATACAAACAGTAGGAACAGAATATCGAATTCAAAAACATGTTTAGAATAAGAAGAACACAACAGATAAGAGTCATCACCCTCGCTTACGGGGTAAGGCTCTCTTGGTCCTTGTCTTCACACTTGCCGGATAAGATTTTTGGTCCTTACCATATTCATCCGGTAAGGTAATGTGACTTAGTAATCGCTTACCCAGGTAAGCTTTTGGTAAACAACCTCTTAATTTTTAGAAAACTTTAAAACCAAATCACTTTCTTGATCATAATTCGAACAAGTTCAATAACTTAGTTTTTTCAATTGACCATTTAGTTTTTCTAATTAACCATGGTGGGATAATAAAAGCAGGATTTCATGCAGGGGATTCCATCTTAAAACCAATTAGCAACGGGAGAGAAGTCATTCTTGAATTATATATATCAAGGTATAGTTGTGTACTCATTGCATATGCATCAGATGTAAAATTGTCTTTGGAAACAACAAATAAAATTTCATACTACTGTTTATCAAAGTTCAAAGGAAATGAATGCAGCTAGCCTAACATATTTGAAGCTCTTGGTAATGTTTCCCCTTTTTTAATAAGTCAAAACAACTAAATATAGCAACATAAAATACAAGCAACATAGAGAAAATGTGTTTCTAGTACTTGATTCTTTCAATAATTTCTCAATCTCAACTTTATAAAAAAGCAATAGCATCCACACTCTTTATGCACAGACCAAGAAAATCGGTTTGATCCATGAAGAAAGAAAAGGAAATCCACCTAAATACTTAGAGTGAAATGTCAGAGTTTGCACAATCTAGACTACCTTCTATAGCTTGTCATTATATAGACTTAAAATAAAATAACCCATACCTTCAATGATGGTCTTTTTGATTTGGTTTAATTTTAAGTAGGAGCTGATTTCTTCTCTTATAATCTTTTTTTCTTTTGCATTGTCAAGGGGAGAGTAATTTGAGATGGTACATATTCTTTGTAAGTTAACATCATCGCACCATCAACTTAATAAGCATCAGAGCAAGCAGATGTGGTTATCAGGAATTAAAATCTCCATTGCATGCCTCTCCGAATGTCTGAAATCTGAACATAAGAATATAATTTCATATCTACTCAATAGGTTTGACCAATGGAACAAATTTACTGAAACAAACTATCTTATCAACAATGCAATTAATTAACCAAAATTCAACTTAGTAAACAACAAATGGAACACAATGAATTCAAATCTAAAATCATTGACTATGTAAACCAGCAGGCTAGCAGATGCAACAAATGGGCAGACACAGGTCACATGAAACAACAGATCAGAAGGTGGGAAAATTAGAAGAAAGGCAGTCCCAAAAAAAGAAATCAGAATAGCAGCAAGAAACTGATCATACCATTATAGAAATAGATTTGACCATCTTTAAAACCCTTTGATCTGGTGCAACCCAAAGTAGAAATAAACTTTCTAAATCCTATTACCATAAACTGGTATAAACCTCTTTTTATAATAGTAGCCAATAGATCATTAATCACCAACTAAAACCATACCTTAAACCAAACATTGGTTGTTTATCTATGATCTAACCAAATACAATTCCAAACCAGACCTTAAACCAAACATTGGTTGCTCATGGCATGTATGGTTCTATGTTAAGACTTAGGCTAAAAAATTTACCTGTCATCTGGTCAATTTTTGCATCCTCTTCTAGCTCAGTTTCCATAGTCAAAGCAAGTAACTTCATAAAGGTTGCATTATAAGCAATCTAAACATTTATTTGGCTTAGGGATAATCAAATAATGGTGAACCACATTACACATACTTCTTCATTGAAACCACATTACACATACTTCTTCATCGATTCCAGGGGAGGACAGGTTGTCTTTTCCGGTGCTTGCTTATGAGGTATGGCAAGTAGGGTTCACAAAATGTGGACCACGGGGTCATGAGATCCCCGCCATTAAACCTTTTTTTTTTATCGAAATCACTATCAAAAACATCTGCAACCTCTGCTTCTTCTAGATAGTTTGTATCATCTTCTCACTAAAAAGAAAGAACATATTTAACATATCAAGAAATTTTAACACTTTGAGAATGGAACACATTTATCACCAAATAATTACTATCGAAAACATTGCACATATTTTCTCTCTAATTTTGTACGTAATATCGAACTTAAATCGCGTGAGGCTAGTCGAGAACTGTTATCAGGGGTTGAGAAGGTGGTCAAAAGCCCTGCTTTCTGTTGTTTGAATAAAACCAATGAATTAGTTCAAAATTGATTCATGTATATATATACACATATATATAGATTATATAGATTCACCTGAATGGCAGCAAATAGGAGGTCATTGTAGGTTGTAATTGCATTAACCTTTCCACCGGTTCCTTCAAGAGTCACTTGAGATTGTGTCTTGAGGTTCCAACTCTATATACCACAAGTAGAAGTACATACAATTAGTATATATGACAGTGAGGAGCTTAATTAATTACATATGTACATTCAGAGAATATATATATGTATATATAACAGTGAGAAGCTTAATTAATTACATATATACATTAAGAGAATATATATATATATATATATATATATATATACACCTTAATATTGCCATCTGTAAGTCCGGAAAAAATCCATGAATCTTCGTTAACCAAAGTCTCACACTCCATACCCATGTCAACAACAGTCCCACACTGCATGTCCAACACAAATTAATAATGGATGGTGTTGATATGAAAATAGGTCCTAGCTAGTAACAATAATTAAGAATATATAGAGGATGAAGTGCTATAATCCCAAATATGTAAGGATTTATCCTTGCTACTACAATACAAGTATAATTATATAACCTTATTTGGCTATAATCGTTTAAGAATTGAGCTAGGGATAAAATCAATAAATAAGTATAATTATATAATAAGGGGCCGTTTACAAAACGCTTACCCGGTAAGTACTTACCGGGTAATTTTCCTCACTGGATGAACATGGCAAGGGCCAAGAATCTTATCCGGTAAGAGCGATGATAAGGATGAAAAGTCTTACCCGGTAAGTGAGGGTGATGACTCTTACTTGGGTAAGCGCTTATCGGGTAAATTGTTGCATAGGATATGTTTTGATATACTACAATCTTACCCAATAAAATAAATTATAGTGTTTGACTTCTAATGTTAAACACTTACCGGGTAAGCATTTAGGTAAACGGCCCTTAAGACTATGGTTAAATAACTTTTCCTCTTTTAGACGGTAAGCGTTAGGTAGATGACCCCTAAATAAGAGTAAACTTCTTACGGTTTAAATGAATAAGAATTTACCTGAGAATGTTTTCTTGATGATTAGGAAGGCTTCAAAC